GCAGTCCGTGGTATTCTCAATACTCTTCTCCAGCATGACAAAATTCTCTTGTGAGTTCACAAAAGCACCATGAAAAAAAAAATTAACTTAATTACTTGTAGACCAGAGTGGCTGGTGTCTTCTCTTCATAGTACTAGTCAAGTGAAGGCTGGCTTTAACAAACAAATTTTTTTTGAAGGAGAATTGATGCCTTTGAGCTGTGGTGCTGGAGAAGAGTATTGAGAGTACCATGGACTGCTAAGAAAACAAACAGATTCATCCTAGAGAGGGTTAAATTAGGCTGCTCCTTGGAGGCAAGGATTCTGAGGCTCTGCCTAACATACTTTGGACATGTTGTAAGGAGGCACCAGTCCTTGGAGAGGTACACCATGCTTGGTAGGGTGGAGAGACAGCACAGGAGGGGAAGGCCCTCTATGAGGTGAATTCATTGAAGTGGATTGACTTGGGTAATCAGGATGGGAATGTCAGAGACAGTGCGATTGGCATATGACAGAGCAGAGTTTAGGGCTGTTGTACATAGAGTCACTATGAGCCTCAAGCCACTCGACAGCACATGACAACTACAACAACAACAACAACAACAACAACAACAAACAATTTAGGAGACTAGGTGCTGGCTCTAGGGAAAGACCTCATCTCTCTGTTCGTTCTAGAAGAAGGTCTTTGTCTCCATTAGTGTCTGTAGCCTTGGCGTTCCTTGGATCTCTCCATATGTCTTGGTCTTCTGTTATCTGATGAGCTTCCCAACACAGGGATTTTAATCCAAAGTTTATGCTCTACTTCTGGCTCTTCTGTTTTAGTGATGCTGAGATCCCCTGCTCACTGTTAGCCTCTTTATCCTTTGATCTCTTAGAAGACAAATGGTGGTGTATGCCACACTCTAGGGAAGCTTCTCTTTTATCAGATAGGGGCTTTGGCCTAATTAAATGTGCTACATCTTACTCTGATCCTATTGTAACCAGTAGACTGATCACATCTCAAATTACATAATGACGAATGATGAAATCATCACATGTAATCATGCTTCATTAATATAACATCATTACTTTACTCTTTGTTGTCCAGATGGATCCAACTCATAAAAAGGTTTTCTTAGATTGTAAATTACATAAAAGGAGATTGCCATCTTTCTCCCTCAGGGATGCTGATGGGTTTGTACCACCAGGCAGGCATCACTTTAAGGTTAATAGAACAGCTCCCTGTGGACTATGCCATCGGAATTCCATATAACACAATTGAGTTTAATATTTACCACGTACAGGACAATTATTTTTTCCTAAGATTTGTGTCCTAGTCAAATTAACATGTGTCTTTTTAGAAGACACAATTAAGTATAAAATTCCTCCAAAAATTCAAAGCTATTCAATAGCTTCTTCTGGTGGGCATAGTTCAATGGTGATTAATTTTATAAAACACAATGAATAAGAATGACTGTATTTAACACAATGTGAGAGAGGGATGAGAAGGATAATGTGAAACACAATGTATACAAACTTTGTATGCAAACCGATTTAAAAGAAAAAATTATAAAAGAAAAAAATTATAAACAACTGTTCATCTTTTAACTACACACTGAACAGCTCATAACTGTTAATTGTTTAGACTATTCTCTTTATGTGTGAAATGAAAAGATACTTAGTAATGATTTTGTCTTTTTGTTAGTAGGCTAAGAGTTGCACTGTCAATCCAAAGGCAGATGGCTGAAATCTACCAGCTATTCTGCAGAAGAAAGATGGGCTATCTCTGTCAGTGTGATTTATAGTCTTTGAAATCCACTATAGGCTCAGCTAACAGATCTGATTTGACAGCAATGAAAAATAGAGTATTATAAACTCAAACTCATTGCAGTTGATTTGGAATCTATGTGAAGCAGAAACGCCAGCGGGGCTTCAGAGGCTATAAAAGGCAAACGAGGAGATTGTCCATCTTCCCACCCTCCCCCACCCCTGCCACCAAAATCAGCTGGTGGCTTTGAATCACCTACTTGTGGGTTGACAGCACAGCTTCTTATCCAGTAGACCACCATAATGCCTTAGTCAATACTGTATTAGTCAAATTTATGGACACCCTTTTATCATCCTGCAATATGTAATTTCACTTAACACTTTGCATCCATTTTTTGTTTTGCTCACGTACATCCTCTAGTGATACTTTCAGAAAAAGTCCATGAATGATGAGATCTTAATCTTCATACCTTTGTGGGGGGCATATCATCATTCATCATAATTCTTCTTCAATAAAAGTACATATTAATTTTATCTGTTGTTATCTGAGATATTCCTCATCTAGTATCTAATAGTCATTAACTAGGTTCCTGTATAATTATAAAATAAAACTAAAATAAGGTTAATAAAATTTCATACTGTTACTTTTTCCAGAGATAATAGAGGTTTTAATATAAAGACAAACTTTTAAATAAGAGTACAAAAATGTTATTTTTGCATTACACTTGGTTCTATTTATGTTTAATCTTTGAAAATTATTAGTTCTATTTTCTGAAGTTGTCTGTCAATTATCTGTAAAAAATTCCATAGAGATGATAAAAAAGTTAAATAAAACTAATAAATACAAAATATTAAATATACATAACTTTGTTCACTACAGTACATGTGGTTCTTTGAACATTCATTCATGTTTGCAGTGCTTTGATTCCCACGTTAAATTTTTCTCTTTGCATTCTCTGGGCAGAATTTTATAAATGGGAGTATTATTTTCTCTTAGGATAGTTATCTCATTACTCAGTGGCATATAGTCTGAATGCCCAAAAGCTGTTGACAAGAAGGATTCATTTTGTTACATTCTTGTGTTTCAGTGAAGAAAATAGAAATAAAAAAGACAAGTCAAGGTCAATAGTACTAGACAACACCTTCTGGCAATTTTTAAAGAAAAAAAAATATATTGGACCTTGTCAACATGGATTATTATTTCTAACGTTGTCCTAAGGTATATAAAAGGAAGAACTGGATTTCCCTCTGTGGTTAATACTTCCTTTCGTGGTGAAAGTTCAATATATACCTAAAACTGCCTAAGTAAAACAAAACAAAACAAACCCTCTACTTTAATAAAAAAGATTGCTCTTTGCAGATTCTTTTGAAAGGATTTTTCTAAAAATAACTTTTTATAAAGATGATGTAACTTTTATTTTAAAAACTTTATTAGTTTACTACCTTTATGCTGTATTAAATCTTCCATCCTTCTTTGTGAACTATGTCATTAAAATTGTGTATTGAGTCCATGCTGTCGTAGTAATTGATTTTTTTGGGGGGGAGTGCAATGACACTGAAATATATAATACCACAGAAAAATATGAAACTAGAATGAACTGAAAGGATATTTCCAATTCTGTACAAAATTCCCCCAAGACATTAAAAAGCAAGTCTCACATAGATTAAACAACTCAAATACATTAAGTAGGCTTCATGTGCATAGTCCTTGTCTGAGGCATTTAAGAACATTGTGGCATACTTTACTATGCCAGTGGATTGGATTTCTGCATTGAAGGAGGGGGTTTCCATTACTCTCTGGATTTACTCAGCAGAGAAAAGTCATCTAGATCTTAGAAAAAAACTCAAAGATTTTAGAGTTAGAACCTAAGGACTATTTTGTTGTTGTTGTTTTTTAAATTGAAATCACAAAGATGCTTTCTAGGATACACTTTGTACTATCTTAATCATAGATTGAGAATGGAAAATTTTCAGCTTGGACTTGGTTGAATTGGGATTGCAAGGAATGTTCAGTAAAGATACTACAAGACATGAGAGTTGCCAGGAAAGAGTAAAAATGTCAGAATGCTGCTTTTTCCTTCTCAATCACCTATCAGCAATTTTTTTTTAAAATTTTATTGGGTAAAACATGTTGGGGATACACAGAGGTGAGGATTGGAAGCAGAAGGGTGAGGATGGACAGGGATGAAAATTGCAGGGATGCAGTTGCAGGGCTGCACAATTTGGTTGGTGGGGGAATAGGTGAAGGAAATGAAAAGGATCCAGTGGGGATCAGATGACACAGGGCAATGGTAAGCATAGTCCAATGATGATTAAATAAACTGTCTTTTTCACTTCTGGGCTTCTCATCTGGGAATTGGGTGCAGACTCTCTGGCTTCTTCATGCTGAACAGGGGCATTGATGTGAAGGGTGAACGGGAGACCACTTTATCACCTTACTGGTGGTTTTGAGTTGAAACTGCTTGCCTTCTTGTTCTGTTAGAAGATATTCTCCTGACATTTACTCCCCTCTGTACTGCAAAGTATTTTCCCAGGTGGTCCAGTGGGGATGGCTGACTGAACCCTAAGGCTCCATTCTCCTTTGCTTCCTTAACTGGCCATTGTATTTCCTTTTGGTCTCTGGAACTGTGTTCAGGGTCAGGTCTGGAGTAAAACTCAGTGTTAAGGTTACCTATAGAAAAGGGAGCAAATTTAGAGAGAACAAACTTGTGAGTTACAAATAGAAGACCTTTGGGGGTGTTACTTATGGGTATAATGGGGGAGAGGATGCAGGAAAGTAGCCTTGATAAAATTCTCTGTATACCCTAGGCAGATATTTTCTACCCAGGGGTCCGATGGCAACCATGTTGGGCCGGGAAACACACCCCAGGGGCTGAATGACACACTCCTTCACCAAAGTCCCTCCCCCAAGTCTGGACCCTGCACCTCACTGAAGACCCTGTGGACAGGAACAGCGTCCCCAGTTCCAGTACTGCCACCATTACCCTCCCCCCATAAGTGGTCATACTGTAACTTGAAGTAGGTGTCACTGCCCTCCCCCTTTATAAATGGAGAAGGGGACCTGAGAGTGGTGAACAGACACCCCCCTCCCCCCAAGTCTAAACAATTCTTGGCGAAGGCAGACAGTAGATCAAAAGATGCGGTGCATTGAGGATATCTGCCATCTCAGACATGCTGCCACAGTTAAATGTCATTGAGTCGTAGACAGCTCACAGAGACTCTTATCAATCCATTGTACCGGTAATCTTCCTCTCTGGTCTGCCCAGGGAGACCCCAATGTGCTGCCCTGTCTCCCACTGCCGCCGTATTGGCTCCAAGAATTCTCCCCAGAACAAGTCCATTCTGCGGTGGTGTGGCAGCTCTGCTGTACCAGCCTGTGTGTGTGTGGGGTGCCTACTGTCCATCTTGGGTGAGGAGATCGCTGGGGTCCAGCGATGGGAGCCTCATGGAGCTGCAGGACTGGTGCGTGCTGAGCAGCAGGGGGCTAGGAACCTCAGGACTCACCCATTCCTCCCTGGGAATCCTTGATTTCCTGATGTTGATCCTTGATCCACACCGAAGACCAGTCATCAACTGTTTAACTGCTCAATTAGCAATAAATAGAGGTCTGTAGAAGGCCATCGTGGCCCTCCTACATGTGGTCCACTGCTCCCACAGCTCGCCACTGTTTCCACCACAGCCTCCATCTTGCCCCATTACTTATCAGTACTTTTGATGAGAAGAGCTGTCCTTTTTTGCAGCTTTCCAACTCACTTGGTAAACTCTTCAAAACTTTGTTGAGCATCTGATGATCTGTGCATTGTGCCTGATATTGGAGAACAGAGAATGTGAAGATCAAGGGGACAGGTTTTTCATTATAACTTTTTTGCTCCTTATTCTCCAGTGTTTACTACAATGCTTGACACAAATGGTGGTGGGGAGAGTGCCAATACATGATGAGTAAATGAAGGAAAAGCCTGCATATAGGTTAAAATTGGTTGTTCAGGGCTTGTGTGGCATGGCCAGGCCTGGGAGAGTCTTTCTATCACTTCTATCCCAGTGACTGATAAAGGCTAATGCCCAGCTCAGTTGCACTCACATCCCAGCCTGCAACAGAACCACTGCTTGCCACGTTGAGGAGCTGCAGTCCATTGTGGCCCAGACCCCACTCAAACACAGAGCACTAGACTGGTGCACTACTGCCTGGAGACCCTTGCTCCTTGCTGCCTGGGGAACCCACTGCCTCACTTCCTGGAGACTTTGCTACCATGCTGCTTGGAGACTGCTGTCCTGTCATGCCACTGTCCTGTGGTAGGAACACCCATATCACAGGTGAAGCCTTTTCATTCCACCTCCCAGAAACAATATTTAAGCTGAAAATCCTTTGGATTCCACCTAACTGAGGCTGTTGCCTGGCTGAGAAGTCTCCTAATTCACAGGTCATCTCTCTCTCCAACTGAAGAAGTCTTTCCTTGTGTCAAAGGATAAGAGGTAAATTCAGGTAGGGTGAGCTGCTCTTCTTTTCTCTGGAGCCATGAGCTCTTGAGCAAACATTATCACACCAAGGGCCTCCTGAGGCCTCATGCATGAAAAACTTCACAGCAATGACATGACATGAAAGATGCAGACTACCTCACGCCCTACACAAAACCAAAAGAAGATACCACACCAAAAAAAGTTATCATAACACAGAATCAATAGGTTTCCTAAAGCCAGGAAGTCTGATAGAACTTTCTGACACAGAATTCAAAGAACAATGATTGAATATTTTCAATGGGTGAGAGACAAACTTGAAAAACTACAGGACTCTGCAAGTAAAAGCCAAAAGGAACTTCAAAAAGCAATCCAAGATATTTTAGATAAAACACATGAAGCATTAGAAGCTCTGGTAAAACAAGAATCCACAATTCAGAATATGAGGACCAGTGTTTCAGATGCTATCAACATATTGGAGGGATATATGGGTATAGTTGAAGAGATAGAATACAGAACCATCAGAATAGAAGACAGAATTTTCAGCACTGATCTGCTAGAACAAAAAGCAGAATTAAAAAGGAAGAAAAAAAGAAGAAAGCTCAAGAATAATGTGGGACACTATCAAGAGGAATAACATGTGTACAATCAAAATCCCAGAACAGAAAAAAACAAGTAAAGGCAGTGAGAAAGTTGCGGAAGAAGTAGTGGAAGAAACCTTTCCAAGCACAAGAAAGAATGAGAGAATATATATTCAAGAAACTGAATTAGTGTCAAAAGACAAACATCAAGGCATATTGTAGTCAAACTTGCCAGAACCAGAGATAAGGAGAGAGTTCTGAAAGTAGCTTGGGAGAAACAAAGACTAACCTATAAGGGAGAATGAATAAGATTAAATGCTGTTCTCCCAGCAGAAACCATGCAAGCAAGAGGATACATATCAGACACTTAAAGAATACAACTGTCAAACATACTGTACCTAAAAAAATTGTCCATCAAATATAAAGGAGAAATAAAGATATTATCAGAAAAACAGAACTGAAGTGACTTTGTAAATACAAAACTAGAGTTGCAGGAAATACTGAGGAAAGTCCTTCTTACAAAGATGCCACAAAAAGCAGGATGGACAAAAGTAGCCAGCAACACCACCAAAAAAGAACTCAACAATATGATAACAAAAACCCTTGCCTCTCCATAATTACAGAGAATGTAAATGGTTTATATACACCAGTGAAGAGAAAAAAAAAGCAGTAGATTGGATAAATAACAAAATCCTTCAATATATTGTCTACAAGAGACACACCTGAAGAATGAAGATAGACTAAAAAGAAAAGGATGAAAAAGAATATGGCAAACAAATGGCAACCAGAAGAAAAAGCAAAAGTAACAATATTAATCTCTGATAAAACAGATTTCATCTCAAAAACTATCACAAAGAACAAGGAAAGTCCCTATTTAATGCTTAAAATATCAATAGAACAAGAGGACAAAACTACAATAAATATCAATATCTATGCGCCAAATAATAGAGTTGCAAAATATACAAAGCAAATGTTAATAGAACCGAAAAAAATAGACAATACTGTAATTGTTGTAGGAGACTTCAGTACAACACTCTCAAGAAAAGACAGAACTACTAGAAAGAAACTCAACAAAGGTACTGAAGAATTAAACCACACAAAAAACCAACTTCGTATTATGTATATATATATGCTAATGCACACCAGATAAGAACAGTTTAACTTCTTATTTCTTATGTCACAAAGCAAACATGAATAGATTGAAAAAAAAAGAATATATAGCATCTTCTCAGACCACAATGTTACAAAAGTAGAAAGTAATAACCAGAGGATAAAGAAGAAAAAAACCCCATATATTTGGAAGCTGAACAATGCCTTGCTTGAACATGAGTGGATACCAGAAGAAATAAAAACTGACGTAAAAAAAGTTTCTTGAAACAAATGACAGTGAAAATATAATTTACCAAACCTTTGGGAAACAGCCTTTGCAATAATTTATAGCAGTAAGCAAACACATCAAAACACAAGGGAAAAAAAATGATAATTGGTTCTTTAACCCAGCATCTCTAAAATGTTGAAAAAGAACAGCAAGAAAACCTGGGACCCACTAAAAAGAAATTGAAATGATAAAAATGAGGGCAGAAATAAATGAAACAGGAAACAGAAAAACAATTGACAATCAATAACACCAGAAGCTGGTTCTTCAAAAAAGTCAATACAATTGACAAATCACTAGCAAAATTAACAAAGAAAAGACACAATAATCCAAAGAAGAGATGAAAGGGGCAATGTCACAACAGTACCAACGAAATAAAAAAGATTAACAATGGAATATTATGAAAAGCTATTAAAAAATGACTGGAACTGCACATCAGCAGAGAATTGCCAGAAGTCCAGGCTGGGTTTAGAAGGGGTTGTGGTACTAGGGATATTGTAGCTAATGTTAGATGGATGTTGGCTGAAAGCAGGGAGTACTAGAGGAATGTCTATCTGTGCTTCATTGATTATGCAAAGACATTTGACTGTGTGGACCATAACAAACTGTGGCTGGCTCTGAGAAGAATGGGAATCCCAGAACACTTGATCGTGCTAATGCAAAACTTATACTTGGACCAAGAGACAGTCGTCAGAACAGAGCAAGGAAACACTGCATGGTTCAAAATTGGGAAGGGCATAAGTCAGGGATGTGTCCTGTCTCCATACCTTTTCAACCTGTATGCAGAACAGACTAATTAGGAGGCTGGGCTCTATGAGGATCAATGCGGCATCAGGATTGGGGAAAGATCTATCAACAATCTGCGTTATGCAGATGACACAACCCTGCTTGTTGAAACTGAGAAGGACCTGAAGCACTTGCTGCTGAGGGTCAAGGACTGCAGCCTTCAATATGGATTGAGGCTTAATGTCAAGAAGACAAAGATTCTCACCACTGGACCAATTGGCAGCATCAGGATGGATGGTGAAGAGATTGAGATTGTTCACAGCTTTAGTCTGCTTGGCTCCACAATCAACACTCTTGGCACCAGCAGCCAAGAAATTAAAAAACGTATTGCGATGGGAAAGTCTGTTGTTAGGGACCTCTCTAAAGTACTCAAGAGCAACGGTGTGTCTCTGGAGACTAAGGTGCCTCTGATACAGGCCATGGTCTTTGCAATCACTTGTTATGCATCAGAGAGCTGGACAATGACCAGGGAGGATAGGAGGAGAATTGACGCTTTTGAGCTTTGGTGTTGGAGAAGAGTGCTGAGGGTATAATGGACTGCTAAGAAAACAAACAGGTTCATCATGGAGAGGGTTAAACCTGGCTGCTCCTTGAAGGCAAGGATTCTGGGTGTTTGTCTGACATACTTTGGACATGTTGTCAGGAGAGACCGGTCCTTGGAGAAGGACATCATGCTTGGGAGGGTGGAGGGCAGGCGCAGGATGGGAAGGCCCTCTGGGGGATGGATTGATTTGGTGACTGGGGCAATTGGGATGAGTGTGTTGGAGACAATGAGATTGGCACAGGACAGAGCTGAGTTTAGAGCTGTTGTACATAGGGACACTATGAGTCACAAAAGACTCGACGGCACATAACAACAACAACAACATTCTCAAACAAATATGAAAACCTAGAGGAAATACTTAAAAATACTTAACTTTAAGTACTTTTAAATACTTTAAGTATTTAACGAATACTTAAAAACTTAAAACTACCTAAAGTCACACAGACCAAAGGAGAACACCTGAACAGATCCATTGCATAAAAAGAAATTGAACAGGTAATAAAACAACTTCCAACAACAATAAAAATCTCTGGATCAGATGACTTTACTGGTGAATTTTATCAAACACTCAGAAAAAAGAACTATCACCAATTCTACATAAAGTATTTAGGAAAATAGAAAAAAAATAGAATTCTCTGACTATGGAGCAAGTATATCCTTAATACCAAAGTAAGGTAAAGACATCACCAAAATAGAAAACTATTGCCTGATATCTCTCATGAAT